ATGTAGCTTAAAGTTCTTACAACATTCATAAAAGTTATCTTAATTTCTTCTATGGGGGAGCGCGCGCCAAAAAAACGCAATTTTTTGGTCGAAATTTTCCAAAAAAATGCCTAAAGAGGCTACTTTTAGCCTGTTTTTCAAATTTTCGCGTGCGGCGCAGAAAATGTGGCCAAAACAGAGTCTTTATAGCGGTTTGGGATAGCTCAAAAAATTAACTTGATCGACCTAAAAAAAAGAGTCATTTTTGCATAATGAGTCATTTTTGCGTGATCTGATGAGAGGAACTAGAACATCACAAGCTTAGAATACTATTAAATTAAGCATAATTGAAAACTCTTGTTGAAAAAAAAGTTTCCGATTATTTTTTGAAATAAAAATAATCGAGACCGAGGAAAAACTAATGAAGCTTGAAAAACCAGCTTTCCTAGATTGCAACTGAATTTTCCGCTGCTTAATTAAAGATAATCGAGACCGAGGAAAAACTAATGGAAGCTTGAAAAACCAGCTTTCCTAGATTGCAACTGAGTTTTCTGCTGCTTAATTACAAAAATGTATTTTTATCACACGTAATTGTCCAAAAATAGAACGAAACAAAAATTTCAAACAGGTTTTTCTTGAACTCCTTCGATGAGTATTCCTTAAAGTATTCCTTCGATGACTATGAGGATCTATGAAAGGCTATCTAGCCTGTCTAAGCATAGTCCGTTTCTCTTATTTCCGCACACTCCAGACTGAGTTATTTTGTTAAGCGGAGCTTTTTTTACGATTCAGGGCCGGTTTTTGCGTATAGAGCTTTCACGCGGTACCACTTTTGCAGCCGAAAAGGGTCAGGCTGTTATAGACTTGAAGCTAGAGGTCAAGTAAGAGCTCGTCCTCACACACTATCATTGCCATGGCAGAGGATCGATTGTACAATCTGACGATCTTAAAGTGAACGCCTTACCACTATGCTTAGTGCATCTAAAAATAAACTTATAAAAAAACTAGTACCCGCACGACAAAGTTTCACCCAAATTTTAATTGTCGGAAAAAAACCTGTTCGTTTTTGGGTCAATATATTCAGTTAAATCAATGGCAATGGACTCAATCTTTGGTCTCATTAAAATGAATATTTCTTAAGCTCGAATGTTTCCTTATGTTCTTGACAATTTCAGTTTCATTACGCCTAGATCAACTAGTAATAACAATTTCTTTCGTTTTTTTTTTGATTTGTGTTTTTTTTTCTTTGGTCATATTCTCTTGAAAATCTGATTTTTAGGGCATTTTTTTTTCCAAGCTGGTATGGCAGTATCAAACATGTTAATCTTTCATTCTTGTTCTTTCAACATCTCCATTTTTTTCTTGCATCCCAATTCGATTTCCATGATGAGGCTTCTGACTCTTAGTTTTTTTGATTTTGCAGCAATTTTCATGGGAAGTCGACCGTGGCCTTTAATTTTTCTTAAAGTTATATGCCTAAAAGTATAAATTTCAATATTTTTGACGATTATATATCATTAAAGTCATTTCCAGCTACTGTTACTACAAATAATCTTTAAAGCACTTATCATACGACACTACCTTCACCAAGTGTGAATTTTGCTTCGATGTTAATTTTCGTCTGTTTCATTAGAATACGACGCCTGTCTGTTATCTTTTATCCAATGATCTTTGGCTCCGCACTTGAGACATCCCACATTTTGACTATTCACTTTTTCTCTTGACTCAGTTTTTCTCATGGATATCTCTTTGACTATCAAACTCTACACCTCCTCTGTGGATGAAAACTATTCGGGTCATCATTATTTTGAAACAGGATATTCCAGGCCTGGTTATCTCCCATTATAAACCTTCTCAGTGCTTTCCAGTTTCAATAATTCCGCCATTTGTTGATGAGACCCTTAAGTTTTAACAATATTTCTGATATTGATTTACATAGCTTCATCCAAATTGGTTCCGCCAGGTAATCACTCAAACCAGCCAGTCTGAGCTGGGCTCTTTCCGATATCTCATTATGAGTCTTATGTAATCATTTACTCAAGTTTTTTTTTCTATATTTTCCTTCGCCTATAACCCTGTGCTAATCAACATTTCTATTTCTTGCTCAGAATGAGCCTCTCCTCTATCCATCAGTACTGCCATTTTATTTAGGTCCCGAGTATGGCATGTGCAAACAAGTACCAGACTTTAGTTTGGCTGGAGTGGCTTCGTGACGGAACAGTCTTATTGTTCCAACCATTGAAAATGACGAAAAACTTTGTATTCGGGTGTTTTAGTCTATTTTTGCTTTTTCTTTTTCATGCAAAATCAGCTACCACAAATAATAATCGGTTTGAGTTCAGTTATATATCATATTACAGACTTTTAAGTCGTGATTCGAACGACATCTAAATTTTCAAAAAAGTTTTCCCGGTTTTGAGAAAAACCGGTTTGAAATTTTGGATTTTTCGTCTAATTTTGACCGAGTGAGAAGGTTTACTTTAGCTTATTTATCTCAAATACTCAAATGAAGTTAGTTTTGGAGTTTTTAGTTTCTTCTTAAGAATCAAAAACTTCAAAAACTTGGGGAAAAAAATCAAAAATTATAGTAAAAATTTATTTATTTATTTTTTTTGCGTTATGTTTTCCACACAAAACCAGGTACCACAAATAATAATCGGACTGGGTTGCGTGATGTATCAGATTAAAGCCCTTTCAGTCATGATTCGATTCACATTTAAAATTCGATTCACAGTAAAGATTCGAATCACATATCCCAATGTCGAAAAAAACCGGTTTGAAAATTTTGATTTTTTGTTTTAATTCGAGCGAATAAAGCAAGCGAGCAGGCTTTTTTGTTTTCAACGCAAAATTAGCTAGCTCAATCAATCATTGTAATGGGTTGGTTGAGTGATATAACATAATAAAGCGTTTTTAGTCGGGATTCGAGCGACATCAAAAAAGTTCGAAAAAAAAACTCCCGATGTCGAAAAAATGGTTTGAAATTTTTGATTTTTCGTCCAATTTTGATCGAGTGAGCAGGATTACACTAGCTTACTTATGTTTAATTTTAGCTTTAGAAAATAATATTTTTTTTTCAAATGAAGTTAGTTTTGGAGTTTCTAGTTTCTTCTTAGGAAACAAAAACTTCAAAAATTTGGGAAAAATAAAGTTATAAAAATGTTTTCACACAAACTCAGGTACCACAAGCAAAAATTGGTCTGGGTTGCGTGATATATCAGATTAAAACCTCTTCAGCCCTTTCGTTCACATTTAGTTTCATCTTAAGAATCAAAAATTTCACTAATTTGAGAAATAACTTTTGAAAAAGTGAAAAATATTTATTGTTTTTCTTTGATTTTTTGTTTTTCATGTTATTTGTCTGCAACAATTGTTTTCAAATTGCATATTTTACAACGACTGACGAAAATGCCTATACTCTACTTTTTGTTTATATTCTTTTATCACACCAAGCCCTAAAAACTACACTTATTGGAAAAGTAACTTTATTGTAAATTTTTGACATTCTTTATTGAACATTTATTAAACATTCTGTGCTTGCACAGTAACCAACTATCCTTATTTTAAATAATTTTGGTTCATTTTACTTACAAAAATACGGAGAATGAAGTTTTTGGGCTCTGTACTCCTCCATTAACGCAACTTGATCCACAAAAACTCTCTGAATACGTCTTTAAATTTTTTTTTTTCAAATTTCTTTTTCTCTCAACTTTTTCAAGTTTTTTTAAAATCTTATTGTTCCGACTTTCGATACGAAAGTAACGGAATATTTGTGCTCGGGGTGGGTTTTTTTTTCTTCAGACAAATTTCGACTTTTTAACTAGCCATTTTTGACGGAATTTTTTTATATCATTCGAAAGGTATTGTTGTACTGAGCTCAAAATTGAAAAGATATTTCACCTGTGATCATTTTTCGTAAAGTTATGGGGGTTTAAAGATTGCCATTTTGGCCAATTTGGGACAATTAACGCGCGATATAATTTCATTTTGTTTAATTACTTTTAATTTTTTAATGATATTACTGCTCCATAAACCTTAATGGGCAGTCGGAACATTCAGGGCTTCGCCCTGATACGAGCAGTCTTGTTGTTTATATTTTCCTTTTTTTTTGAAACAAAAATGTTATGCAATAATATACCTAGATTACTTGCGCTATCGGATATGCCTAACTTTTAGGCTTCCGTTCTGATCACAGCGCGAAATTGTCCAAAAATTGTTTTGTAGTTTTTTGTATGGTTGTGGTCGGGACTTCCTGTGCTAATTTCACAGCAACCAGCTGTCCTTGATCAAAATACATTTCATTTCTATCGCATTAGCCTCTGGGGCAGGGTCGTTTGGTTGCTGACGCAGCTAACGGACTGCATTCAACTTGAGGTTAATTCATTGGTAAAAGAGGCAATTGGTCTGGAAAATTTAGTGAATTTTGTGATAAATATCATGGACGTGACTGTCAAGACCGGACACGAATCACTTTTATCACAGATGTATCTTGAATCTAAGGCTGATGGCTTTTATAAGTGTGTTTTGTATTTTTAAAGAGGATAAAACTAAATTGAGCAAATTTATTTAAAGTCTGGTTAATAATATCACTGTACACTAATCAATAAATTTAGTTCAAACACTTAAGTAATATCACTGTTTCTATTTGAATCAGGGGGTTGAGAAATTAGACGATAAGCAAATTAGACGGAGGTACTTAAAAGGAAATTAGACGGTTTTGCAAAACTGCAATTGTGAGAAAATAGACGAAAGTGAGAGAAATTAACTTTGTTTGCACGCAAATTGCGTTAGAAAAATAAAATTGTTTGTAGATAACAGTTCAATTTCGGTGCCCAAAAACTTTACAAGTCAATCATGCATAATTTATTCAATTCAAAACTCTCCTGTAATATCTAGATTTGACATTTTATGTTCATTTAAACTAATTGTTTTTGATAGATAATGCTATTTTATGTTCTTTTTGTATTTGTGAAACTTGACTCTCAAGAAAAAATTTTGTTGGCCCTTTCCTTTTCATAATTTTTTGTCTGATACGGCCCCGTCTCATTTCGTTGTTTATAGTATCCGTCTAATTTGCTTATCGTCTAATTTCCTAGGCCCCGAATAATCACTTCTATCAAACTACTCTCACAAATTGGCAAAATCAGTTTATGAAATCATTTTCACATATTCACAAATTATTTCTCGCAAAATTGATTTTGGGTTCCAAGCATATTTCAGCTATTAAGCATCCAAAGATTTACCGAATTTATTACGTAATCAAAGCGCTTCTTGTAGCACATATGATCAGATGCGCTTTATACAAGTATTGGGAAAATATCATTTCGATGTTTCACTAAATCACTTGTGGTCCTAGTCAACTGACTAAATGAATAGAAATTATGATGATATAAATTTGATTATAAAAAGAAACTAAATTGAAGAAAGGTGGGCAGGATAAGAATCGGTAGCATGTGTTCGAATCAGTGAGAAGAATACTCAAATTGAAATTGAAGAACAACTAATTTTAATGAAAACTCTTGTTCACAGAAATGTGTAGTCATCGCTAAAAATAAACGTAAGCTTCTGCGATTTTTGATGAAATGAAACTCAAGTAGAATGAAAAGCGTCAGGAGGTTACAACTTTTTTTTTCAGGATTTTTGCTTGAAATGATCACTTCCATTGATTTTGAACTATATGCAGTTGGTTATTCGTTTGCTTTTCATGGTTAATATTGAAATATTTCTCCGTAAAAAAATCAATTGGATCGCTTATTTTTAATTCGACCATCAAGGTTTGGTGAAGACAGATACTTATTGAACGAACCAAAAAATCGTGCAAGAATTTGAGTTTTTAACAACTTTTAAACTCGATTGTTTTAAATCAGATTAGCACGTGAGTTTCATTCAGGCAGTTTTGAGTTATACTTTTAGATTGAATCAGCTTCAAACTTTGCTATGTTAAGTGTGAATTAGAATATAATTAAGGCAGAATATAAAAGGGAAAATCATGATGTGAGAACTCAATCGAAGAAGGAGGCAAATCTGAATGCGTGGCCACTTCTGTCTGCATCTTCAGTCGTTACGTAGAATGTATGATAATCAGACGGATCATTACACACAATTGTGTACACTAGTTTCCTCCTCTGATAGAGATCGCCTGCCCACTTCTCCCTCTCCCGTTGTCCATGTGTAGTTCTACTATTCCACCATTTACTCTCCTGTCCACGTCCCTCCATTTCCGTCATCACAACCAAGTACTCTTTCAAATCTGAGTTGACACAAAACGAAGTAATTATCCTGCCGTTAGCCCGATGTCGTTTTATTTCCAAATCAAGATCTGACCTGGTTCTACAAGTAAAAATAACTTGTTCCCGATTTTCAAATGCGCTCACACCAGCAGTCACTACGAAGAAATATGTTTTATTCAAACACGCCACACTTGTAACCGATAATCCAGGCATGTACAGATCTTCAGGGTCTTCGGTCTGCATTATGGACTGTGCTGTCCCGTAGCCCTCTTGCATATATGTGTAAAATTTACCACACTTCTGGTCAACAGCAAGGGAAAAAATATTCAGTCCTGCTTTTGAGTGAATTTTCATTTGTTCCTTGACTTCTTTGAGCGAGGAGCTGACCCAAAATTGTTTCTTGTTTTTATTATACTTCTTGTGATTATCGAAGACGGAGCAAATATAGTTGTCGTGGACACTTTGCCAAATCAAAGTCCGTTCATTATTGTGAGTGTAAAAATGGATGAAGTCGATGTAATTAGTTTTGCCGTACTTTGCATATCCACTGAAATCAACGTGGTTTCCTCTGCTGAACCTTGGCTCAGTGGAGGGTCGACCATCTTTAAGTTTGTTCTCATTGCCCGTCATGTAGTGTGTTAGTTCACCTCCTCCGTCTACAATAACAGACACTAAGCTTGTCATTTTCATTTTTCACTCTAATTGCTATCCAATCGTATTGATATTTTGAGAAAGACATATGCATTATCTAGTCTTTTTCCGATACGAAAGCTTGAAAAGTCCAATTTAGTAAACAAATTAGATCAAAACAAAAAAGAAAGATATGTAAGCGACAATTGAATTGTAAAAAAACTGGCTATAAAAATATGGAAATGAACTGCGGAAGTAATTGATAGAACAGTTTTTCCTACACAGAAAAGGCTGAAAAGTGAGCTGATCAGCCAGCTCAATACTGCAGAATATATTTATTCATCTTCATTTGTTCAAGAACATACATCTTGAGCGAGCATTTTCTTTGCTGGAATCCCTCATGCGCGAAGGACCGAATGCGCGAAAATACAAATGAGCCAATCAGATTTCAGTAATCTAAAATTTGGAAAGAAAGTACACATTTCCAGGGACTGGAGTATTGATATTGGCCGAATATAAAAACGGCAGAAATATGCAAAATTTTCAAATTGTCACTGACCGCCGCCGAATAAGAACAAATTTTTTTATTTCAAGGGTTTCGTTATGAAAGAAGCAAAATGCTGCTTCATTTATTGTTCCGATTTTCGATACGAAAGTAACGAAATATTTGTGCTCGGGGTGGGTTTTTTTTTCAGACAAATTTCGACTTTTTAACTAGCCATTTTCGACGGATTTTTTTTTATATCATTCGAAAGGTATTGTTGTCTTGAGCTCAAATTTGAAAAGATATTTTACCTGCGATCATTTTTCGTAAAGTTACGGGGGTTTAAAGATTGTCATTTTGGCCAATTTGGGACAATTAACGCGCGATATATTTCGCGTTATTAACGCGTAAGCGGAGAGTTAATCCATCTTAGAAATCGTTCCAAATTGGTTAAAAGAAGCTTATTTGCCAGAATTGGTTTGTTACAAGGAGCGAAATCTATCCTTTTGTACTTTATATGGCGTGTGAGGGGATGATTTTTATAAAAAAAATTTCAAATTTTAGAATTTTTTTTTTCATTTTGTTTTATTTCATTGAATTTTTTAATGTTATTACTGCTCCATAAACCTTAAAAGGCAGTCGGAACATTCAGGGCTTCGCCCTGATACGAGCAGTCTTGTTTCATTTTAATTGAATGGCAATTGCTTCTTTTATAAAATTAACTTTCGGCTAATTTTGTTTTCGGTCCCTTGCTCACGAGTTTTTTCGCGCATTCGGTCCTCCGCCCACGAGAATAGCCCCCCATTTACATTTTTTTTTCAAATATTCTTTTACTCATTTCAATAAACTACGATTTCAAATCAGATTATTACAGATTTAACAAAAACTTAATCACGGTAACTTAAAATCAAAACATTTGAAAAAAATATTCCAATTTGTTGATAAATTACTTCAAAATGCCTCTTCTTTCCCATACTTAATTGAAAAAATTAATATCGTTAATAGACATTCAGTGGTTGGATTAACCTATGCAAGCTACCTGGCATCAATAACAAAGAAATGTTTCCAGTATCCGTCCAAATTCATCAATCATTTATCTTAAAAGGTTCAAGTCTGGGAGTTCGCCATTAGATTCAGTTTTCAGATATCTCTCTTTGATATTCTGGTTATATTTACCATTATGATCATAAGCAGCTTGGTAGTCTCTCGCCGCAGAGAGGCAGTGAAACCCTGGGACTTTCTTCTCTATGCAGTAGTCAGCCCACACTCCACTGAAGCACGAGTCGGTGCAGATAGTAGGGGGTTCCATGCCAGTCGGGATCCAGTCGAAGATCTCTTGGATGCTAATTGTACCATCTGCCAGACACCAGTTACCAGTCGGTAACTCACCATGGCCAGTGTAGTAAAGCATAGGTTTATAATTTTTCTCCTTGCAAAAGTTGAAAAAGATCTGGATGTGATTTTTTACTTCTTCTTTTTTCATGTTCAAATTCTGCACTCTGTTTTGTAGGTGGTGTCCTACAGCTCTCTCCATATTCACAAAATCGACGCTTTGACCTTTCAAAAATATGTCTCTCCTCTCTCCCCTCGCCTCTCGCTCCCCTATTTCGGACAGCTGGATTCTGTTAGGGGGGTTGCTGGCCCCAGATAGCAGCAGCCACTTCCGCTCTTTATCTGTAGGATCCCATTTGTCAATATCTCGTATTTTGCCCGCATTCTGTCTAATAGCGGAGCCAGCAAAAATTAGAGGCATATCTAACAAACAAATTAGGTCTCCGGATTAAATGCACAATTGAAGACAGCAAACGCTTGACAGTTGTTTAAAATCGCAGCTGTAAACTTAGTAGAAAGCTGGGGTGCCGGACATCAAGCCGACGGGACTTCAAGCCGAATTGTAAAATTAGGGACTTCAAGCCGAATAATTCCTTATAAAGTCGTGAAATATGAACAATTTGATAAATTTTTTGAAGAATTTCTGAATTTCATGATCTTTGCATATAATTTAAGCTACCAAATGATGTTCCGGAAAGTTGAAAAGTAAAACATGGTTGAAGGCATTTTTCATGTTTATAATTTATGCATTTCAAAAACCGGCTGATGTTATTAACGGATGCGAATCGCAAGTGGTGCATTGTCATGAATAACGCTTATTATGGACTAAACTTGCCAAAATTTTAGAAAAGCAACATTTTGCAGATGATAAAATAGCGTTTTGGGTTGCTTGTAAAGTTTTAGTTTCGGCTTGAAGTCCCTTCGGCTTGAAGTCCCGTCGGCTTGTCCTAGACCCGAAAGCTGTGGTTTTAATTCAATCTTATTCTATTCTAATGTATAATTACAATTTTTAGTATTCAATTTTGCTTTTCTGTAAATATCACTAGTATGAATGCAAAATTTTATTTGAATAATTTTTCAAATGATTCGTTGTCCAAAAGAGTTTCTAACCGCAGTGAAAATATTAAACTCAGAAATTCGTTGACTATAGCTCATAACTTCTAAAGTTGTAGTTACTCAACTTTAATATTTTTATACCACCAATTGCCTTCAAAAAAAAAGATACACTAACCATACTGAGAGTAAATTCAAGTTGACAATGATGCAACTTGTTTTTAGATTATTTAGTAGAGGTAATGGTAATATAGAACTGAGCTTTCAAAAAAAATCAGAACTTTTTTTAGACACTATGCAGACAATTTATGAAGGGAAACGTGTAGTTTCCAATTTACTGAACGCTTAGAACTCAATTATTTTTTGCTCGCACTCCTATCTAGAACTTAGCGCTCTAGACGTTTTAAAAATTTAATGGCCGGTCGCCTGAAAAAAGGAGGAGGTTATAGAATAGTACCAACTGGAGGCTTACTCTTAAATTCAGTGTCTTCAGAAACTCTGAGCAGTCAAACTATGTACAGAAAAAAAGAGTTCTTCTGTTTTCCTAGCAAATAATTAGAACCATACAGTTTTTTTGTGAACATGAAACTACTACCTTTAATGCCATTTCTGTAACTTTACACCGTTTTAACCAAAAATCAAAATCAAAATGAAGATGAAGGGAACGTCGGTAACATTTATTAGCGTGCCGAGGGGGGGGGGGGGGGGGGCACCGCCCCTTCCCTCAACTCTGGCTGCCAAATTTTTCCCAAGGGCCTTGGTCGACTTGACAAAAAGAAACCCCCACCCTAGAAAAATTTTTGCGCACGCCACTGGTAACATTAGATAAAAAACGAGAAATTATTTTCCATTCGAAGCCAGAAAATAGTGCGCTATTTAAGGCGTGTAAATTTTAAACGGAACCGATTTTGCGCAGAAAACTGATTTACAACTTTTTGAAGGAATAAACTTTATTTACTTCTGACTTTGAATTGTTCTTAACTCGCACTAGAGTAGTAGAAGAGTGAGCAAGGGTGGGAGGGGGGTGGTTGGAGACCTCATGTATTAAGATAGGGAATAGAACATCCGGTCTCCAAGCTATGTATTAAGATAGGGAAAAGATTTCCTATGTATTAAGATAGGTTATAGGTTTTGCCATGTAATAAGATACCAGGTTTGAGATGATAAGATGGTAAGTTTTAAAAAAAAATTTTGGCGCCCGAATTTTTTGGAGCTCAATTTAGCTGATAAATGCGTTTGTTAGCAAACTCCAACATTTTACCATATGTAAGGGCTATCTTTTCTTACAACTTCGGTATGATAAGTTTCAGATGATAAGTTTCGGAAAGGTTTTTGAAAATACTTTAAATTTTATTTGCAAAAAAAATTTTATCGTGAAAAAACTTTTTTATCTTGAGAAATCGAAAAAAAAATTTGGATGTTAAGTTCCCGAAAACGTCTCAAGTTTTACTTGCAAATACAATTTTATCTTGAAAAACAGTTTTGTCTTGACAAATCGAAAAAAAATGTTTTTCGGGTGGTAAGTTTTAGAAAAATTTTGAAGTTTCACTTGAAAATGCACTTTGTTTTGGAAAAAAAAAAGATTTTTATCTTAAAAAGTTGAAGAAAAAATGTTAGATGGTAAGTTTCAGATGGTAAGTTTCGACAAAAATGAAGTTTCGATTTAGAATATGGGAAAATACTGACGAATTTCTCAATTAACTTGATCGCCCTGTTCATCACAATTTGAAATGGAAAGAAGCAGAAAAAGCAAAGTATTGCATAGAAAAGACTGTTACGTTAAAAAATCAAATGTCATATTTATATTCTAATCAGACACTGGCTTCCACACAAACTATTGGTTCAACACTTGTGGAAAGAATTTGTAAAGAACACAACTCAAAATATGAACATGATTTGTTAAAAATAACTGACCGCTTTATCGATTGTAATGGATTTGTAAATAGTGATCATGTCATTTTTTCGAGGAAAAATTAAAAATATTTTGATAATTCAACTATTTTCTCTGCAATGGTTACAAAATTACCAAAAATTTTTAAAGAAAAAAGATAAAGAGTTTCACCGTTATAAAGGAATTTGCAAAAATCTCTTCAAACTTGTGAATAGAGATAAAAATTTTTCTTCTGATTTTCAGAAAGCTGCGAAAACATTTAAACTTTTTTAACAGTTTGCACAAAAAATGGTTCACGCAAAAAGTGTTTCAATGTTTTTTGACAAAAAGCGAAAAGTGTTTCCCTTTTTTCTACAAAATTCAAAAAGTTTTTCACTTTTTCTGACAAGATCTGAAAAGTGTAATAAGTTTTTCTAAAAAAAAGCGGAAACTTATCCAATTTTTATCGACAAAATGCAAAAAATGTTTCACTCTTTTCGTACAAAATGCTAAAAGTTTTACAATTTTTTGTACAAAGTATTAAAAGTACTTCTATTTGTTGTACAAAAAGCTAAAATTGTTTCAATTTTTTGACAAAATGTGGAAAGTATTTTAAGTTTTTTGGCAAGATGCAAAAATATCCATCAGGTGTTTTTACTTGTCTGCAATTTTCTAGTGATTTTCTAATATGTGAGCAAAAAAATAATCCAGTTTTTTAGCATGTGTGCGAAATCGGAGCACTTAATTAGGTTGCATTTTAATTGTTTATTAATTACTTGGAACGGTTTACCCTGAACTTCTTATCTATTTTTATAATTCAAACAAAATTGAGAAAATGAATTAATTACAAATAACAAAATAATAATCAAATATCAATTATTTACAAAAAATTCAACCAAAGAACTGTCGAGCAGCAGAAGAGTTCGGGAAGCTCTCTATAGAACGCAGAGCTGGACGATGTTCGATCGCTGGTGGTTGTTGTGGAGGGTTTTTTTTGAGTCGTCATTGTTTCTGAGAAGCCCTCATCTTCATTTAATGTGATGGGTCTTTCGGCTGATCTCATCTCTTCCTCGCAAGGAAACAGAAGTCATCGACTGATTGAAACACATATCCAGAGTCAGGAATCTCGGGGTAGTTCATTTCCACATGGTCAGACACCTCCTCCATCATTTGCATTATTCTAAGTTGGTTCTCTGTGATGGGTACTTGCATCATATGATGCTCGTTAAAATCCTTCGCATCACTTCCACCATGGGCCTGGGCCAGACTTGGCTTGGGATTTCCAAAAAACTTCAAAGACTGTTTCTCGCATTTGGATTTGTACTAGATGAGGCAAATTTTCTACCGAGTACTTAAGGTTGCTGTTTTGCACTGAGAATATCATTTTGAGCAATAAGTTGAGTAAAAAATACAAAGTAAGAACAAGAATATTAACTGATTTACAGCTTAGAGAGGAGGTAGTTGACAGTAGTTAAGTTTTAATCAAACTGTGTAGAGCTGAGAGACGAGGTAGTTGACGGTTGTTAAAATGAAATTAAATTGTTTAGAGCTGAGAGATACGAGGTAGTTGACGGTAGTTATGTTCAAGTTACAATGATTTTTATTTAAGAGTGTGGGGTACGTTCAATTCGAATGTAAGTGTGTAACCAATCAGAATAGATTTTCCATATTTGGTCTGTGGTCGTGTTCAATCAGATATCAGCTACCTTTTATAAATTATTTATATAAAAGTCGTGTCCAATCGGAAACGAAGTTCCATCTTAGGTACTTTTTACACATTTTCGTTTCCAATCCCAAAAAACGTTCAATTTTGTTCTATTTGTCGTATCCAATCAGATTAAAATTTACCTTATAAGGGTTAAGGGTTTAAATCTTCCACATGAGTAAGAATATACAAAAAAAGCAATCGCAAAAACAAAAGACCAAAAGTTGCTTGCTGTAAAAGTAAAGAATATTGCCGATATAAGTAAAAAGAGAAAGGAAGTTTTTACAAGTAGCATTTCTACAATTTTTTTTTCATCAAGTTAATTGAATTTTGTTTTTAATCAACAAGAAATTGCTGATTTTTGAGTAGATAGTCAAATTCTTTGATTTTGATGTAAATTTGAGAGGATAGCTCAAAGTTGATGAAATTTCAAAGCACATCTCTGCAAATTTAATTCAAAACCTGATCATACCTGATTGTCAGTTTGCAAATCTTTAGAAATGCAGGAATAAAGAGTTTGCTGGGGAGATTTTACAAATTTGGGTGTCGAGTAGGGGATAGAAAGAGTCTTTGATTCATTATCGTACGACTTTTTGATTAATTTCAAATTTTCTACAAAAAATAAAATTTCTTTACTAGTCAGGGGTAATTCAGTGGTAGGTTTGAAGCTTTGATACGCAATATGAGGATCGAAAGTAAACACTTTGATTAAGTAGGCTTCGCAAAATAGATATTTATTCAGTCGAATAACTGTGTTTTGGACCATATAAACGTCCAAAAATTTGTGAAAAAAGTGTAACCCAACGTCTACTTCATCATTTAAAAAATGTAGTGGCATTTTTTTTTCTTGTAAAGTAACGTGAGGGAATTCAAGTGTTTTCAATAGACAATTACAAAATAATGATAGAAACGCTTCCAAAAATTTTTAAAAAATTAATTTTTAAAACACTCGATTCTGATTGGTTGATTTTCAAAAAGAAAATGCATCTTTTGATGCAAAAACAAATTGAAACATATTCATTCTGATTTTCTTTCTACAAAAAACAAACGTTTTAAAC